TGGCCCACTGCGGGGGATGGGCAGTGGGCCCACTGGGGGGACCAGGAGCACCTAGCGTGGGCTGCCGTGGGCCCAGCTCTGAGCGGAGATTTCTCACCCCAACATCTCATCCTTCGGGGGCCCCGAATGGCTCTGAGGGTGTGATAAGGCCCTCCCTCCATGACAATCTACACACAGAGTTCTGCACATTTCAAGGGTTTCCTGGCAGAGAAAAGGGTGGGAAGCCTCGTTTCCTCTGAAGGACAGCATAGGAAGAGGCTGGTGCTTCCTCAGAGCCCTCGGGCAAAGGGCCCTACTGTCTCCGAGTTCCCGCTGGCCAGAGGGACGTGGCCAGCAGCATCCGGCCAGGGCACAGGGCAGTAGCTGTGGGTGAGGCTGGGACCCCCCCGGCCCACAGAGTCTGCTGGCCATCTCATGCCCCCCACGTCTAGCTCCATGACGGTGGGGGTCCCTAAGGGGTGGGGTGCCGAGAGCACTGACAGATGATGTGCCCTCTTCTCCTTCTGGGGGGAAGGCTCAGAGGCAAGTCCCTGAGGATACCTGGGCCACCCTGGGGCTCACACGACCCTTCCAAGCTCTCTAATGGCCAAGCAGACCTCAGCCCTGCCCAGCATCCACCCCCCTTCCCCAACAACCCCTGGGGAGCCAGTTTCCCCCTACACCCTCCATCTACCCACACTCTGACCACCTCATCCCTCTCCAGAAGGCAAAGAGAGTAAGGCTGGGGACTTTGCGCAAGGAAACAGCAGCTGGCATTTCTAAGCTGATGGCTGTCTTGGCACTAACGGGAAGAGGCTGTCTGAGAGTGGCATCAACACAGAAAAGGCAAAGCAAAAGCATGAAGAGAACCAGCCGGATGACATCCTCTGAGCACCTGGATCCAGCCATGACTGAAGGCCAAAGACAACTGCCTTTTGGCTCGTGCTGCTGTGAGCTGAGCATCTGCCCCTTGCTAACAAAAGACCCCTGACTAATGGGGCTGGTCCAGCGAAAGCCAAGCAAATTCAGCGTGAAAACAGGTCAGTCCACGTGAGCTCCTGGCAGGCAGAATTAAGGTGATGGAGCACTTAGGAGACAACTGTCAGTGGTCAGCAGTGCGAGCCCTGCCCGCCTTTCCTAAACAGAAGGCCCCTCCACGCCTTCACCCACCAGCACCACAACAGGACATGGGAGCCCACCTTTATCGTCTGGGCCCCTCGAAGGCCAGGTCAGGGGCGGGGGTTACATCCGTCTCCCGGACACAGAGGAGCACGCTGTCCACACTGTCCACACTTTGGGTCTGACGCATGAGCGAGTGTGTGATGCTTGAGCAGAGCCTCGCGGGCGGAGGGCATCCCTCGCCAAAGGTTCAGCTACTTCTCGTGGGTGCAAGTTGTCCTCCAGTCCCCAGGGAGCCACTGCCCGTGGCCGGCCGTGTATGCCCGGGAGGGGCACCCACCGCTGCTCCTCAACCCCGGGTGCCCCCTCTGCGTTTAGTGCTGCAGTTCCCTCCTCCGCACCGTGGGCGTGATGGTGCAGAGACCGATGTCGGGCAGGTTGGGGACGACGGCCGTGTGTGGCCACGCATCACACGGGAGTCTGGCGGGGGCGGCTTGACCAGCCCGTCTCAGGCACCTGAGGGCCCCACCTCCACCTTCACTTTACGGACCAGACAGGGCGGAGCTGCAAGGCCCCGGGATCTGCCTGTCCAGGGAAAGCCGCAGCTCCTCAATCGCCCCTGCGGAGCGGGCGGGAGATGAGCCAGCTCTTGGAAGCATCTGGAAACGGAGGAGGGGGAGGCCAGAGGCCCGCCGCCATATGCCATGGGGCCAGGAGGGCGATGAGGCCTCCTACGCACAGCTCTAGAAGGCCCTGCACCGCGCAAGTGGAAGAGCTCTGCCAGTGTAGCAGGACATAGGTGCCTAGGGCTTGACAGCACTGTGGGGGCGGGCGCCAGGAGCCCAGGCCAGGAGCACCCGCAGCTCAGCAAGCCCCAGACTCGGTGAAGCCAGCCCTCCCCACGGACTGGAGTCGGGCCCTCTGCCTGCAGTTCCACAGCGGAGACCCAGGCACTGGAGGACGCTATGCTGTGAGTGGCGGGGAACAGGGACGGGGCCTTCATTCCCACGCGTGCCGACATCTCGTAGGGGGGACTGTTTGGGACCACAGAAGGCCGGGGTTCCTGGTCTGCAATCTTGAGGAGCCCGCCTGCCGCGGTCACCCGCGGCATCAGCTGTGCCCCCAGAGGCCACTCTTCCCTCCCCCACACTGTCCTGCCACAGATGTGGCCCTGGGACCAATGGCTCTGAGCACATCTGCTGAGATGTGTGAAGTCCTGGAATCGCAGGGCTGTGGCGGCGGCTGGGTCACGTGGGGGCTCCAAGCAGACCTTCCGTGACCTGAGACCCAGGCCTGGAACGGACCCACCCCAGCCCTGGCTGTCTCAGCCAGCTCCCCGGCAGCCCGCATTCTCCCTGGCACATCCTGGGCTCAGGCCTCACGTCTGGGCAGCCGTGGATCCAGTGGGTCGACGCGTGTGGCCAAGGCTCTCGGCAAGGGGAGGAGGGATGGCCCCATCACCCTTCCCGGCTGGAAAGCAGGGACAAGTGAGACATACCTGCTTCCTCATGGCACTCACACATCTTGCTTTCAAGTCCTCTATCAGAATTGGATCTATCAGGATTGGCCAAGACCTCTGCCTGCACAGCTCCCCTCACCACGGCCACTTCCCGTGGGAGCAAGTTGTCCTCCAGTCCACAGGGAGCCACTGCCCGTGGCCGGCCATGCATGCCTGGGAGGGGCACCCACCGCTGCTGCTCAACCTCTCCCCTAAATCCTTCATCAGAGCCGAGCAGTCTTGCAGAAACAGCAGACCTCAGAGCCGGCGCCCCTGGGGCTGCCTCCCTGTCACATGGCACTCAGGAGGGCGGGAGCAAGGTGGGATGGACAGGAAGAGGCGGGCAGCCAGGTGGGGCCTCGAGCCACCAGACCTTCCAAACCATGGCCACGCCTGTGTCACACCAAGGTCGCCCAGGAGCTCAGGCCAGGTGGCACTGTGACCGGAGGTGACACCGTGACTGGAGACCTGGACATCTGACCCCAAGTCCAGGGTGAGGGGCTATACGGAGGCTGCTCACGTTGGGGCCGGCGTGGGCCTGGGCGTGCTGGGCTCTGCGGCTGAGCAGTCTTCGCATGGGGCAGGTGTGTAACCCAGAGGCCGCCCTTCTAGAACAAAAGCCCGGAGAACCCAAAGTTGACAAGGACAAGCTGGACATCTGCTGACATCACCAGACACCAGACAAGTTCCTGAGTGTGTCTGAAGTAACACCATCTCCTGAAAGTTCACCCTCCTCCTTGCTCCTCCGTCTTACTGAGTCAGTTCTGGCAGGGGCCGAGGCAGACCTAGGCAGCAATAGGAAATGAATACAGGGCAGGAAAGCGGCCAGCTTCCAGGGAGGAGATGGGCCCCTCACCTGCCCCTTCCTGCTGACTGGAAGGTGGCTGTGATGCCAGAAACTAGAGCATCTTGGGGCACAAAGTGGATCTTCCAACCAAAAATCAAATATGCCCATGCCCCCACACCCACCCTTGCCTCCAACTTCTCAAAGGCGTCCTGACACTTTTTGATAAAGATAAAAATCCTCACGGTGGCCTGAAGGGCCTTGTTTGCCTCAGGGATGGCGTCCCAGGCCGGGTTCCAGCTGTGGTCTCCCGGGCCCCTCCCCCATGGCCTGGCACCCACAGCCCTGCCCTCCACCCCCTCCCAGGCCAACATGTCCACCCTGGGGCCCAGCTGTCCTCTGAGAAGCCTTGCCAGCCTCCGTGTTCTCACAGGAGCTCCAAGCCAGTGGTGGCAGAACAGCCCAGGTCCCGCCTGCCTTCCCTACTTTCCTGAAGCTCTGGGTGGCAGGGACCCCACCGGCAGGTGGGGTCAAGCCACTGCCTTGGCTTCCAGCGGATATCTCCGGTGGCCTTTGGGAGGACGGCACTTGAAAAGGCTATGCACATTGAACACATCTCCTGACCATGGTGGCTTCTCCGTAGTGTGGACGTCCCATGAGCGCAGGTAGGCCACCGCTCCCAGTCACAGCGTTCCCTGGGACACTCTGGCCCCAAACAGGGGGCTCCCTGATGCTCGCCCCAGAGCACAGATCTCCCCCAGACACTCCACCCCTGAACAAGGGGCTCCCCCGGACACCGCCCCAGAGCACGGGGCTCCCTTAGACACTCTACCCTCAGAACACGGGACTCCCCCACTCTGCCCCCAAGCAAGGGGCTCCTCTGGACACTCTACCCCAGAGCACAGGGCTCCTTCTCCGTCCCCGAACAAGGGGCTCCCCCAACACTCCATCCCCAGAGCATGGATCTCCCCAGACAATCCACCTCAGGGCGCAGGTCTTGCTAGAACTGACATCTGGCTTCTCTGGACTCCCAGGAGCCTCTCTCATGGAGACTAGAAACCCTACATTCACCCAGACAGCACTGAGGCCTGCCTATGAGAAAACCCAGCTCCCTTGGAAGAGAGATGCCATGGAGGCCACCCTCCAAGGCAGGGAGGCAGGCATGGCACACCCTCATGCCACCCCACACACAGACCGCTCGGCGCCTCCCACTTGAGACTCACTAGCTCTGCAAGGATGCAAGAAAATCCACCACTCTGACCTTCAGGATCCCAAGGTGCCCAAAACATTCCTCCCTGAGAGATGGGGCCTCATTACCATCCGAGCGTACAGAGATGGCAGATACCAGCAGCCTTGACTGGCTTTCTCCATGAAAAGGGATCATTAATCACTGTGAATGCCCATGGGCAGCGTGCCCTCTGCAAGCCCTCTGCAGTCATCCCCCGCACTTTGGGGAGTGAGACCTGCAGCCCCCACACCCTGACCTGGCCGTCTCAGAGTTGGGGTCTCAGCCTCAGCCTGGGTAGGCACAGGCTGCCTGGCGGGCCCCAGCTGCATTTTCTTCAAGGGAAAACCTCAAAAACGTCAGCAGAAAGTACTTAAGGAAATTGTCCAAAGGGGAAATATGTAAAAGTTTAGTATTTTGTTCAACAACTTAAAAAACAGATAGGAAACAACACCAGTATAAAACATTGCATAGCAAATGATTATGTTTGTACAAAATCCAACAAGAAAAACATAATTGTATCATTTAGGATGATGCATAAAATATATTTTGCTAAAAGCAAATCAAAGTTCAGATGGTAACATTTTCCCATTCAGGTGGTGACACCCTCCTGTGAGCAACAGAGACTGTGTGGCCCATGTGGGTAACAGAGGCAGTGACACCACTGGATCTCAGGTATGCAGAATGCAGGCCTCACGGTGCCAGCTGCAGCTTCACCAGACACAGGTGCTACCAAATGACCTGGGCCTCGGGCTCCACTCCATTGGCCAGATGCAAGCACTGAGGGCAGGTCCCTGAGGCCAAATGCTGCAGGAGGCATGAGGACAGCAGAGCGGGAGCAGGCACAGTGACAGCAGTGGTGGCGGCTGCGGGGGCTGGGCCGTCTCCCCTCACTGGTAGGTGACCTTCACGCAAAACGTCTCCTCGTTCTTGTCCTCGTGGTCGTTGATGTAAACCAGAATCTCCTCCTCCCCTGCACTCCGATGAGGCAGGAACCAGAGGCCGATGGTGTAGGTCTCTCCTCCTCCAACCTGGAAAGAAGCAGGTCCAGGTCCACCAGCCGGTCCGCGCCCCTCCAGAAGCCCTGATGCCCGGCCACCAGAGGTCACATGAGCTGACAAGGGCCTGGAAGCCCCATGGGTACTCAAGACCTACAGAGGCCCAGAGCCCAGGGCAGGGACAGAGCTGGTCCCCAGCTGGGTGGCCCACCATCCGTACTCTGCAGCATGCTTATTTGCTTGACCAAATGTCCTAACGTCATTGTAAACCCCCCCTTGGTACGGTGCTCCTCCCATTCTCAGGAGAAGCCTCCCGAAATCTCTGGCAACTGAGGAAACACTGGGCCGCCCAAGTGCGGAATGGCATGTGTCCCTGTCCTCTCCTCAGACTTCCTGAAGAGTGCTCGTGACTGGAGGCACTTGCTTCTAAATGCGGCACTAAGCACCCTGTGTCCAGGCCGGGGTCTCCCAGCACACCCCTCACCTGGAAGGAGTCCTCCTTGAACTGCAGCAGCTCCGGGTGGTCACTGTGCAGGTGGAATGTCCTCCGCAAGGGGTAGGGGTTGGTGTAGGTGATCCCCTTGTTGACACCTTTCCCTTCCCCCGCAGCCATCGTGATCTCAAAGGCCTGAGGAAGGAAGGGATAGGGAGCTGCTGAGGTCACTCATGGGGACAGTCATGGCCCCTTCTCCAAGTATTTCCCAAGCTACAGGAGATCCTGGGAACCTCCATAAGGATCAAACAGATGAGTTCCCTAGAGCCCCCAGCCCAGAGGACAGCCAGACAGCACAGGAGCACACACTCCGCCCCAGCCTGACGAGAACACTGAACCTGGGGGCCTGAGTCCCAGGTGGGGGCCAAGATGCCCTAACAGCAAGCCCCACCCCTCTGCCTGCACTTGTCACACGTCCACACCTTGGAGATGAGCGGCTGGCGGCAGGAGAGGCACACGAGCCACGAGGCCACCAGCTGGTGGCAGTCCACATCGACCAGGTTGAGGTGGATGAAGCGGCTGCCGGCCTTGAGGGGCCTCACGCTGATATGCAGGTCCTGCAGCCCCCGAGGTGGCAGAATGAAGACCCCTTTGGGATCCGTCTTCAAGAACAAGAGCAGTGAGCCAGGGTAGAGCCATTCACAGTTCGTAAGCAAGGAGCTCCCGGGGATCTACAGCCCAGTGGCCAGGAGAGCCCCTGGTCACTGGCTCAGGGATGCTCAAATCCAGTCACAAAACACCCCCAAGGGCAGCATGGCCACGTCCCAGGTGTGCACTGGGCATGCCCCTCCTCCCTCAAATGCTGCTCCCTGAGGGAGGACTCCCAGCGTCTCCGGCGGAGACACTGGTCCCTGGCTGGGACGGGGCTGCCACTGTCCAGACATAGCTGAGGCTCCGTCCACGCCAGAGCTCCCAGTACAAACTGTGGGGTGGTTTGCATGCCACTCACCCCACAATGGCAAAACTAACAAAGGCGGTTTTAACGAAGTCCCTGGGAGGCGCATTTCCATGGCTGGCGGTGCTAGGAAAGCTGTCACAGGACCACCCGCAGAGCCATGGCTGGGGCCTGCCATTCAGCCGCCAGGATGGGGTGAGGGCAGTCCCCACACAGCCCCCAGCAAGGCCATACCTTCAGCTCCTGGGGATGCGAGGTGAAAGCTCTGACTTTCCTCACGGTCTGTGTTCCCCGGAGGACAAGCGACAGGCGGGTCAGCTGGCCCGTGATGCAGGAGACATCCACACGCTGCAGGGAGTGCAGGTAGACCTGCCACGTCTGCACGGGCACCGCCAGCCAGCGATCCCTGTGGCAGGACAGGAGCCGTCGACACTTGTCCCCACGGACCTGGCACCCGCCCATGGGAGGCCATGAGGGCTGCTGAGAGGTGAGCCGCCAGGAGGTGGGCCACCAGGCGGGGGTGGGGGCCTGCCAGAGGCTGAGCAAGGAAGCCCCAGAGCACAGGGCTGAGAAGAAGGGGCTGTGCCGGCTGCTCTCACCCCAGCTGCCCCCTGCCGCCACCACAGAAGCTCTGCGCGGGGCTGTGGCTCCCACGCCACTTGTCTGTGCCCAGGAGGCTGCCCAGGCCCAGGCTGCTCAGGAACCACACACAGGCTCTGGTCCAATATGCAAACAAGCTTCCCCCCAAACGAACGTTCTGAGGCTAAGCCGCAGGCAGTGCGCGTGGGAGACAGGGTGCGGGGACACGTGGGCCTGAGCACGGGTGCCCCTGGGAGCATCTCAGCGCCAAGACTCCGCTGACCTGCTTGGTGGCAGAATGGGGCTGGGTGATGATGAGGACGCTGCTGAGGACGTGATCACGGGGCACAGGAGGGCTGGCGCAGCCCCTCACCCCGCAGTGGGCCATGAAGGCAGATGCCCCCTGCCCTGTACTCAGAAGCACCACTGGAGATCTTCCTGCTCACACCAGTTTTAAAGGATTCTCAAAGAGCAGGAGATCGAACGTCAGAGGAAAAGGTAAAGGGACCACGGCACTTCAACTGGGCAGGTGGAGGGCCAGCCCATCATGCTCTTCGGACCCCAGAAACAACGGCCACCACCTTCCACCTCCCCAGGCGGCCACTGCCTGGTTCCCTCAGTTCAGCTTAGAGACTCAGCAAGAAAGTAGAAGGCTGCAAGTGGCTCCTGGCACTGCCTGGAGACAGAAGCCACCTCGTCGCTCTCCTTGGCGGGGACATCACACGTCCCAAGTCTCTCAGGCCGTGTGCACCACTTGAAGCAGAGGCCCCTACTGGCCTGGAAGTGGGCAGCAGAGTCTGACCCACAAGCAGAGGCCTGATGAGCCCCTTCCCCGGGTTGGGAGCGGGCCAGGCCCACTTTCCACCCCCAGCAGCCCCCACTCCCACCTCCCCCCTCCTCTGCCACTGTCCCCAGGTCCCGAGGCCTGTGCACTTACGAGTAAATGAGGACAAAGAAGTCTTTAATCTCCGGGCTCAGACCGCTAGCTACCTTCAGAAACACGTCCCGTGGCTCCCCAGGACCCTGTGAGCAGATGTGAGTACATCAGGGGCCAACCACGTGCAGGCTTTCCGACCACAGCCACCAAGGCTGCAGAGACCCACGGGGGACAGCCAGCCCGTCCCCCTGTGCATTCACTTTCTGACTAGTCAGAATCACTACTCACTACAAGAGAAAATCATTAGCTCCTTGATTTTATATGGATCTCAATAATTATATTCTACAGGAGATTTTTATCTAGTTTCCTAACCCATCATAATACAGCCATTGCTGTTATCCTTTACACAATGGTAATTAATAAGTGCCTTAATTGCCACTTTGTTTCATGCCTTTTTAAAATTTAAATTCAGATGATCAAAGAACTGATCTGTTAGTGGAAAAAATAAAAACACATTCATAAAGCTCTCACAAGGATGTCAAAATAGCCCCCTAGCACCTTGGGGAAAAACACGTAGCCTACAACCTGAAGTGATGGGCTCCCAGGAGACACAGGGAAAAGACGGCATGGGCGGGGGACCTGCTCAGAAGGACCTGCCTAAGACAGGCAACAACGCCACCTACCACATTCTGTGTCTCGCAAATGACGTTTGGGTCGCTGCATCGAACGTGGACTGGGGGTTCCTTGCCAGGTATTCCCACTGGAGCACCTAGGATAGGGAAAGTGTCCAAAAACATTCTGCTCCACAGCCCAGGCCTGTGTTGCAGGCAGCCCTATGTCACATCCTATGGGACAGGCCTGACCCGTCACAGACAGCCTTGCAAGTCACAACCTCTAGGGCAGGCCCAGCCTTCACTGGGATGGCCCTGAGTGCCATGACCTCGAGGGCAGACCCACACTGAGATGACCCCGGGTACCGTATCCTGCAGGACAGACCTGGCCTGTGTCACAGACAGTCATGCATGTCACAACCTCTAGGGCAGGCCCATCCTTCACTGAGATGGCCCTGAGTGCCATGACCTCGAGGGCAGACCCACATTGAGATGACCCCGGGTACTACATCCTACAGGACAGGCCTGGCCAGTGTCACAGACAGCCATGCATGTCATGACCTCTAGGGCAGGCCCGGCCTGCATCAAGATGGCCCTGTGTGCTAGGACAGGCTGGGACCTGCCACAGGTACTCATCAAAACGCTTTCTAGGGAAACAGATGATGTTGACCCTACCCCAGGATACCTGCATTGATACTGCCCTTCCACCCCCGTGGACCTAGCCACCTCCTCTGGGGATCCAGAGAGAGCACACAGAACATGCTACAACATGAAGACCACCCTCTGCTCTGCAGGGCTCCTGCTGGAAAAGTGCACCAGCATCTGAGGAGACAGCTGTCCCCTAGGCATAGCCCTCCGTCTGATGGGACAGACCTGGGCCACAGGAGCCGGGGCTTTAGAAGAGTGACATCAGCCAGCAAATGTGTTCCACATCATCTCAGAGGAGGCAAGAAGGTGGCTGTTTCAAACCATAAAGGCAGGAGGCAGAATTTGTAAGGCATCACATGCTATCAGTGTCAGTAACATCTGCCATTCTGGAAGACCTCATCATCAGCTGAACCTGCAAGAGGCTGGCCACAGGGTCAGCATGGGACCTGCCTGGAAGTGTGTGCCAGGGCAACAAGCGAACAGCCTTCTTCAGGAAGGTAAGCTCTGGATGGTAGAAGCGGAAGACCTGGTCCACCACGTGGGGCTGCAGCTCCACGGTCAGGTGGAGCACGGCGATGGGCCTGCCGCCGCCACCGCCACCGCTTGCACGGAACACAACCTGCAAGGAAGCAGACCACAGGCCGTCAGGACTGGCACACGGCCATGGGCAGCCTCGTGTCCCTCCTTGGACAGCACAGGATCTCCACTATCGCCAAGACCCTCCCCACGAGGTGGGAAGGACAGGCATCATCAGAGAGGTGGGGACTGAGGCTGCAGCAGCAAGCGCCCTCCCCAGCGGCACCTCTGGGCAAGGCCTGGACCGGCACCCCACACAGGCATGCACCAGGCGAGCAACTGTTGCTTTCTTAAGTGAGGCACAGCCCCTACACCAAGTGGAAAAGGTCTGCTGTCCCCGAGTCAAAACCTATTCCAGCCATAATGCATGTTTCATGCAGGAAGTTATTCAGCTATCACGGCACACACCAGGTCAGACAAATGCCACAGCACAGCACACACCACATCACGACCTGCCCCAGTGTTCCCTGTTCCTGTGTGCATGTGTGATGTGCGTGCATGTGCTGTGCTTCAAGGACAGCCACCACTGCTGCCACAAAGGCCTCCAGCTTCATACTCAGGGAACCGAGGGTGGCAAGAAACAAAAGAGATGCCTCTATGCCAGACGCCCGGCAAGTGATGCCAGTGTCTGGACGAAGCCACCACTGCCCTGTGAGGCCATGAGGAAAGCCTGCCTCCGAGGCCTGCTCCCACGTCAGCCCCTGCCCTAAATCTGGCCCCGACCCCTCCCCTTCCAGGAGGGCAAAGGGCATAAGGGGCAGGCTCCGAAAGGCCACATCACCCCAGATACTGGCACATGCGGCTCTGTCTGCTGGAGGACACCCAGCTCACGCTGCCGCAAGGTCATGGGAATATATGAGAAGACACACTGAGCCTGGCCATGGGAATATAAAAAATACCCAGGCTCAGTGTGTCTTCTCCCCTTTACCTTGGCATGTTTCGTGGGCATCACGCTGGACTTCCACAGTGGGTCGACATCCACGCCCTTCTCGAAGTTCAGCTCAGAAGCCTGTGAGAATCCAGTTGGCATGATGGGTCAGAGGTGGCATCGCAGGGGGCCAGCACTTGTATGGGTGGAACAGCCACCGTGGCTAAGATAGCTCCACACGCTGTCTCATGTGCTCCCACACTCACCCTCAGGCAGTAACATCATGGAGGAAGCACAGGTTATCACGAGCCAACGAAATAGCAGGTCCCAAATGATAACCTGGCTCTGCCTGCGGTCTCACCCACTGTCCTCACAGCTGTACCAAGAGCCAGCATGGTCACCCATGAGCCTATAGGCAGTTCTCAAGCCTACTTACTCAAGTGAGGCCCATCACCTACAGAGCTGACTTCAGAAGGGCAGTCAAAGGCTGAAACAGCTGGGTGGGATGGTTCATGCCTGTAACCACAACACTTTGGAAGGCTGAGGTGGAAGGACTACTTGTGCCCAGGAGTTCAAGATCAGCCTAGGCAACATAGTAAAACCCCGCCTCTACAAAAATTCAGAAAGTTAGCCAGGCATAATGGTGCACGCCTGTAGTTCCAGTTACTCAGGAGGCTGAGGCGGAAAGATTGCCTGAGCCCCGAACACAGAGGCCGTGGTGAAGACAAAATATTCTAGAACACACACCCTGCACTCCACCCCCATCTCTCTCTCTCTCTCTCTCTCTCTCTCACACACACACACACACACACACACACACACACACACACGGTATGACCCACCCCTCTAAGGGTGCACCTTGCATAGAGGGGTCAATGCTACAGTCAAGGAAGCAAACAACATGGACTGCAGAGTAGAAAATGCTAACAAATTCAACCCGCTAGCTCCACCGAGCCTTACGTAGCTCAGTAAAGGGAATTAATCAGGAGAAGACAGGCCAGCCTCCTGACCCCACAGGTCGGGAAAGGGATGACTGGCTGCTGTGAGACGCGCAGGTACCCAGCAGGGGCCAGGTAGTGAGTGCAGTGGACAGTGCCTGGGGCTAACCCGTCTGCCACAGGCCCGGGGGACACTGCTGGAGACCCGAAGGCGTGTTTGGCTGCCTGTCGTCCTCTAAGCAATGAGCGCCCGTGTGCCTGACGCCCGCACCTGCGCCTCGACAAGCGGCCCTGCAGAGCAGCTCTGGAACTTGAAGGGGATGTGGGCGGTCTCACGCGGGCGCAGGTACAGCCGGGGGCCCAGGCCACCATGCAGATGGAACATGTCCTCCTCCACGGGTGTGTGCAGGCCGGCGGCGTCTTTGAAGTCCCTCCACTCTCGACTGTCCACGATGACGCTAGGGAAGGCAGTGTCCCGGCATCAGGTGCTTCCTCCCGAAGGGCCCACGGGAGGACGCATCCGCCCTCCGAAGAGCTCAAGGAGCGGGAGAGGGAACCGCCTTGGCTCTTGAGCAGAATCTGAGCCGCGCAGATGGGGCGCCTGGCTGTCCCCAACACAGACTGGGGTGGGGGCTGTGCAACTCTCACCTGAGCTCAGGGTTGTCGATCTCCACCATCACTGTGTGCTGCGTGTTGTGGGGGTTCTTCAGCACGAACTCAAAGAACTCAGCAGTGCCCAGCGTGGCGTAGAGCGTGTGCTGCGTGGTAATGGCCCGGCTCAGCACGCAGGTGATGCTCTCGGCCTTGGTGCGCTCCCGGTAGGCGTCGATGACCCGCAGGTCCCGTGAGTGCTGTGCACGGATGCTCTGCTGGGCCTGCAAGAGAGGGGGGCTGGCAGGGTGGGCACAGGTCCGGAATGCTCTCCTCATGGAGGGCTGGCTGTCCAGCCTAACGCTCCACTGGCATTGGGACGTACTCCCTGGCTGCCCCCCGTGTGGAGGTCCACATCGCAGCCGTGGCTTCCTGGCCCTGGCCTGTGGGGGGCCTGCCTCATGGAGGGGAGTCTGCCCTGCACGCTGCCGAGAGACTCTTCTCAGCCATGATGCTGGCACCCAGGCTCCGTGGGGGAAATTACAACAGAGATTTCAGAAAAGAAGGAAGAATGGCCTCAAAACAGCAGGCTTTACCTGGCCAGGTCCCCAGCATGGTGTCGGGAGCCCCGTCTGCAGCCAGAGTCATGGGAGGGGGCATGTCCCTGGCCTTGAGCCTCGTGCAAGGTCAGAGTCTGGAAACCCGCACGCTGCCTCAGTGCTGTTCGGCCTCCTTCTTCTGATGTCCTAGCAACTCCATGGGCTCGGCTGACACACGTGGTCTACAGGATGGGAACTAGCTGTTTTCCCTTTGGGCCTTAGGTTAAAAGTGAGGCCCATCGGAGGCCGCCTTGCAGGATCTAAGACCGGGAAGAGGCCACCCCCACGCTGGGGAGTCAGTCATGCTGTGGCTGCTCCAAGGTCCTGCCTTGCTCAGGTACCCGGAACCGTCTATCTAACAAGGAGGAAGCTGAGACATCACAGGGACTGGCTGACTTCAATGCACTCAGTCTTTATCTCAAAAGGTAAGCACACAACGTGATTTTTGACTTAAACAACATTGGACATTGGTTTTCTAAAATCCAACACTCAGGCATTCCCTCTGTGAGGGCTAAAGCTGCACCTTTCATTTCTCCTGGGGGACCTGGAAACAGGAGGGTGGCCTTGTCCACAATGGAGGCCCACCTCTGTCAGGTTTCACAGTTAGAGCTTTTAATACAGTGCAGCCTCTGAAAGACTGCGCTGGACACAGGGAAGAGACCTAGAACAGAGCTTTTCAACCTCCGGGCTCACACAGCACACCGTCCTGACCCACTCCTAGCTGAAGGGACATAATCTACTCTGCCCACCAGTACAGTGGTCCCCAAGGTGATATTGTGGCAGCCCTTAGGGCGAGACTGCACGTCTCTGACACCATGCCCAAGACTTCACGCAGATGCAATGAACTCGTCACACATGTGAGAGGTCAAGCGGGGACATGGCAGGCTGGCTTAGCAGCAGCTTGGTGTCACTCTCTTCCTGCAGAAGCCCCATCATGGAATTCTCATCCTTTTCCGTAAAGGTTCTCAAAGCACTAGAAGGGATAGGAACCTTCATATATTTGATAAATTGATTTGCTTTCACCCCAAAATTCTGCAGGGATACTGAGCCAGGAAATCTTTAGGATGTGATGGAAAATTTTCGTGTACTATTAACCCAATCACTTCCAAATCCATATTAAAAAGAGGGCTCGGGCTGTCAATTTCTCTATCTGAGCACACCAAGTAAAAGTCAGTCAAATTAATAATAATACCAACACCAGCCTCACGGCTCTCCTCTGTGGAGGCCTTGCTGCCGCCAGGCCAGCCCCTCTCTGACCCTCTCTGACGTGGGACCTGTTGCGGCCCTGAGGTAAAACTGGCGGAGCCACGGTCCTCCAGGCCGGGCCTCTAAGGGCCACAGCCTCAAGTCCCACCTACCAGGTAGGAGGAGGGCTTGGGGTGCCCTCCAGGCCTGGGAGGAGACACCACCCACATCCTGCCCCCTCAGCCCCCTCCCAGCCCCTCCTCCACCCTGAGCCCTGACCCTGCCAATCCCGCAGGCTGTGGCCAGGCCTCCCCACCCATGTGGGTTTCCCGCCAAGCCCTCGCCCTCTCTCCGCTATACTGAGCAGAATGAGGGCAGGGACCACGGCTTCTCCATCTGCCCGGGAGCACCGAGGCCTGGCTCAGAGCAGGTGAGGGGCTTTGTCCCTGGAGGTCGGTCATCAGGAAGAGAAGGGGCATCTTCTTTTCAGATATTGGCTTGCCTGGGTGTCAAGGGAACCTCGGAAGGTCCTTCTCAAGGCTCTGTGTTAGGCCCATAAGATACAACTACTCCCTCCTCCCACTTCTTAGTTGCAAAATAATAAGAGTCTGCTGAATTGTCAGCCAAGAAAGGAAATTTTTCTAGTTAGAATGATGACACAACCTGAGATATGTAAGTTGTTCATAGCTCTGGTCCCCAAACCTGGGGGAACCTCAGAATCCCCTGTAGAGCATTCCTAAAAACTCAGGCTCCAGAGCCACCCCCAGAACCACAGAATCCGTCTCCTGGGGTAAAGCCCAAGAATGGGCTGTGATGAAAAGCTCTCCAGGTAATTCCAACTTGCCAATGTCCCCAGGCAGCTGACACAGTCCAGTTCTCTTATATCCTACCTGGGAGGAGAGTGGTGTGTGGGAGATGGGGAGGAACAGAGAGCACAATGGTATGTGGGGTCCCAGGAGCCCCGGGCAGGCAGGCAGCCCTCACCAGTATGCTGGTCCCGAGCCGGCCAAGCTCTGCCCCGGACTCCTGCTGGCGCACAGACCTCAGGCGCTCCAGCTTGCGCCTGCGGACAGCATCCAACTCGCGGCCGGTGCCCCGGGGCCCCTGGCTCCCCCGGGTGTGTGTCAACAGCATGGCAGCCAGCTCACTGTCCACATCCACCAGCTTCTGTGCCTGGACCACGTTCCTTCCTGCTGAAAGGATCAGAGAAGGAGCCGGAGGAAGTGTGGTGTCTCCCTTCTGTGAGCAGAGCGGGTGATGGGCCCTCCTAGAACCACCCCTCAGGGAGGAAGCCCAAGGAATGAGTCTTGGTCTTCGTGTAGATCCACTCTGTGTAGTTCTGAGATGTAGACAGAGATGGTAATTTTATAACCTGGTCTCTACAGCAGTCATCCTTCCACCAGCCTCTAAAGTGAAAGGAATTCTGAGTCGAGTCCTTAGATACAAAGTTATCAATACACAATCAGGTGATTTCCAGGAGAACAGTCAGTGTTCTAGAAGCTCACGCTCTCAGGATTGCCAAGGGCCCACTTACACCCTCGCCAGGTCTGCTGGCCTCGGCTCACTGGCAGCCCCTTCTGGGAGCAGCCCCTGTAGGTTGGGCAAGAGCTCTCAGAGGCAGGATTCATCTCACTGGACCCTCATGTCACCTAGTGCAGGGTGTCAGGAGCCCCAAGTTCAGATCAGGAATTGAGGTTCAGAGGGGCTGTATCCATGGCCAGAGGCTTGTAGCTGGGACGGGAGAAGTGGGGCAGGCCTGGCCGCAAAGCTCCCACTCTCAACCCTGCCCCAGTCACCTCTGAATTGCCTGACCCCAGGGCAGCTGTCTCCTTCAGGGCAGCTCTACTCAAATCCTGGACACACGATGAAAGCTGTTTAGCAAATAAATAGTAGCCTATATGGGCCAGAGGCCACCCATGGATGGGCATTTTCTTGCTTCCAGGACAGAGCTGGGACTTAAGGTTTCATGGAACTGTGCTTGGTGACAAGGCCATGTTGCAAGCTGACACATTAGATTCCAAGACAATCACTCACCCCAGCACCAGCAGGGCAGGGGAAGGGCACCCTTACTTAGGATCTGGGTTCTCTCTTACTCTCAGGCGCCACCCGAATCCTCCCAGCCTGGCTCCCTTTCTATTAGCGGGCATCAGCAGACCCCGCAGAAGCCCCCACATAGTGCTACAGCAATATGCCTCCCCCACACCTTCTCACAGGTAACAAGGGCTGTCCCCCAGGTTCCTCACCACCATTCTACTTTAAAGCCACTTAACTGCTTTTCAGATGTCTCGAGTTGGTCTTAAACGATGCCCCAAAGAGCATCATCTGTGTCTCTGGGCCCAGATGCGGGAGGAAGCCCAGCCTGGAATCGGGTCTGAGCTGCCTGTGGCCGCAGCTGCACACGGAGGGACAGGGCAAGCAGGGCCTCTCATAAGCTCAAGTTTCCGTACTGCATCACCCCAGCAAATGCCCCTCCCAGTTCCAGGAGAGGAAATAAAGTCCCAGAGTGACCGTGTGGGACCACACTTGGAGAGAGGCAGAAAGCACTGAAAACCTTTCAAAAATAATGTGTCACCTCCTAATTCCACAGCGCTGCCCAGTGGGTGAGATGTGAGCGTGCTAATGGAACACCCTAGTCACAGTTCTGGCCAAAGCAGGGCCTAGAGGACCCCTGGCTGCAAGGGCTCGTGACCCTCTCGACAACCCCTGCAGCTCCTGGGCTGCTGGCCGAGCCCCTGACCGGTTGCACCCTGAGGTGGGGGTTTTGTAAGTCATCTCAGCCTCCTCTCACTCTGCGGAGTTGGCTCTACCTCCACTCTCCAAGTGGTCAGGGGCACCAGCTGAGAATGAAGCACTGACCAAAGCAGGAGTCCAGATGCGAAGCCGAGTGCCCCACCCATAACCACTTCACAGGCCAAGTCGCCTGACCCTCCTTTGCCTTGGTTTTTCGGTATTAAAATGAGGAAGCTGGCCCAGAACAGATTCTCACCCTGCTCAGATCATGGACTATGGCCCGCTTGGAACATCTCAGGTTTCACCCCTGGGAGAACACTCAGAAGGACCATAGGTCTCTTAGAACGTCTCAGTTCCTGCTCCTTGGGAGAACCCTCAGATGGACCATGGCCTCCTGGAACGTCTCAGGCCCTGCTCCCTGTGAGAACCCTCAGATGGACTATAAGCATCTTGGAACCATCTCAGGTCTGCTCCCTGGGAGAACCCTCGGGAGCCTCTTGGAACATCTCAGGCCCCACTCCCTCAAAGAACACATAAGTTTGCCTGGAGTTTCTGGGGACTTGTTGGATTCTGGAGGCCCCTTCCAGCTCTAACAAGTCACAGATCTGAGACTCCTTCCTGGAGTTCTGGTACAGGGCCAGCAAAGCCAGAGACCAGCAACACAGCAAAACATGGCTGTTTTGAATTCACAAAGATGATCTGCAACCTTTGGGAAATGCTACTTAAAGAGCATTTCCCATTATTCAAGTGAAAAGTACTTTTATATTTGAGTCTATGAGGTCTTACATTTTCTTTTTTTTTTTTTTTTTTTTTTTTGAGTCTCACTCTGTTGCCCAGGCTGGAGTGCAGTGGCATACTCATGGCCACCACAGCTCGACCAGTTGGGCTCAGGCGATCCTTCTGCCTCAGCCTTCCAAGTAGCTGAAACTACAGGCATGTGCTACCATGCTTGGCTTATTTTTTTATCTATTGTAGAGACGAGGTCTCAGCAGGTTGCCCGGGCTGGTCTCGAACTCCTAAGCTCAAGCAATTCTCTCACCTCAGTCTCCCAAAATGCTAGGATTATAGGTTTGAGCCACCATGCCTGGCCAGGTCTTACATTTTAAAGGGAAAGGAAAACTTCAGGACTTCCCTATTGTGAAAAAAGAAACTTACCAAGCCCAGATCTTTCTTTCTCAAGTTCTGTAATTGGTTTGTTTCTCCTATTCACAACATGGGGAGTTTCAAATTCATTTTTAAAAAATCAGTCTATGTTCATTCTGATCTTTTCTTCTTTGTCTCTTCCCCAGCAGATGAGCAGTTAACCAGATACAAACGCCACCCGTAGGATCACCATTTCTCTATGAACAGCATAGCCCCCTGCAGAGTCCAGTGTAGAGGGCCAGGGTGTGATCAATGTGGTTGCCCGATGGGGCCTGTGGGTCCACAGGAGCATTTCATCAGGGCACCAAACTGCACGTGGACCACCACAGTCTGGCCCTAAGGCAGTCATTGATGTGAACTTCTCACATGAACACACACACACGGGCACACGCACACATATAGCCTTCTACCTCTCACTCTACCCTGCCCCACACACGCCATCTACAACCCACCCACACATGGGTCCCGCAGTCTCAACTCACGTCTCGGGCTTCCACTCGTGAGGATGCTGCCTCCAGAGAAGTGGCTAGTTCCATCATTTGAGATGACCCGAGACCTGGATGGTGGCAACGCACTAGAATTCTTCACTCTCTGTTCACATAAGTGACCTAAAATGAAGAACACCCCAGCAGGGGTATTAACACCAAATGAGACTCTGAGGAAACAGATTAACCCACCATACAAGAAGCTCTGGCTTTCAAAGCCATCCCCACCCGCTGACATGCTAAAGCCCACAGTACCAATCTCCGTTGTGCTCTGTCTTGCATTGAGAGACAGAAGCAGGAGCTTGTCTTCCTTCGAGTTCTCTCATCTCCTCTATCTCAGTAGCAGCCTGCTTTCTCGTGATGAACCTAAGCCCGTGGCGCTCACATGTGCCTGCACAGAGGTTCTTGCTTCCAGATCTCAGGGTTGCAAGGTGGGATGTGTCACTAACTCCAGTCTCAGCCTTTTGAAAGTCATATTGTTCAGGGAAAGGCCCATGTGTACTTGTGCATGCAGACATTGACTCCAGCATGTCAGTGTGAAGGCACCCCATCACACTGGAGCCTTCACCAGAGCTGTTTTTCTATCAGAAGCCCCTGGAGAGCAGTGCTGGGCCTCAGCATGAGCATGTTCCCAGCAGAGGGGTGCAGCACTCTGCAAGCCCGTAAATGTGAGCATACAGGGAAGCACCATTTGCCCACGGGCATGCTCCCCTGCAAGGGTGGGACTCACTGCCTCTGTGTGGACTTGACTTTCTTTTGGAGTGAGGAAGAGCACAGCGAATTCATGGCCCAAAGTGAACTACCGAGGCGCACAAGATGCTTGTGTTGTTATGTCCCACCCCACCGGGACAGCATTGAGAACCTACAGGCCTGGGGCATCCTGGCCATCTTCCTGGGTGCTGTCGGAAACAGAAACTTCTCTCCTGGGTCTCCCACCTCTCTGGGTTCCCTCGCTCCCTTCCTTCCCTTAGCCCCAGGCAGGAAGGGGACCCTCCTGCCTGGCTGGGCCCCTACTCTGCCTCTCCGCAGACCACCGGCTGCTCTGGGTTCCTTCCTCTTGCCTGTCGAAAGCAGCTGTTTTCAAGGGCAAGCTCAGTGCTGGATGCGTTTGCACGCCCAGGTGGCCACAGAGGTGAGCCACATCCTCCAAGCAACCCAGGTTCTCCTGGTGACAAAGGCGGGGCTGCCCTTGGTGGACATGCAGACATGTCTCTCTCCAAAACGGCTCTGACCTGAGGTGGGGAGGGAGCTGGGCAGGTCTCCAAGCTGCTCTAAATGTCTACGCACCCTCCAGACCAAAGGGACAGCGGCCTAGAATATGGAAAGGCCCTGCAAGCTGGATGCTGAACAGTAGGGGGTGAGGCCAAAGGCATCAGTGCCACAGCAGACCCACCCCAAAGGGACTGTCGAGGGCAGAGGCTCTGTTTAGGAGTAGGCAATGGCTAGATTTAGAAATTGCGGACAGACTCCATCTCCAGGAAACTTCCAGGGAGGTTTATGTAACAGATGGACTGAGAGCCAGCGACACAGCAGTGAGCAGTCCCTGCCTTCAAAACGCTGACATTCTCAAGTTCTTCTGGCCATCCTGTGCATCCTCTGTGTATCTCGGCCCAAGCGGGGCTGGCCTTCTCGCCTGCAGGCCGGAGCTGAGTCTGGCCATCTGCCCTACCGCTACCTTCTTCCCAGTTTCTTCAAAACTGAAGCTCAGGAGGCAAATCCGGTTGAGGCACTGCAGCATTCCTGTCCCCTCCGGTCGGCCACACAGACACACACAGATGCAGACTTCCACCCCTCAGCACCATCCCAGAAGCAGCTTCACAGCTGGGGGTGTCACACATGCGTCAGGTTATCTGCTTGCACTGCTGAGAAATCTGCTCTCGGGTCAGGTGCTGCCTGTGAGCACTCACAGCTGTCACCACGAAGGGCCACACGGTGGCTGCCTCTCCCACCCCAGCAGTGACTAGGAAGGCCAGGAGCACACTGTTCCCGCCATCTCCTTCCAGGGGAATGTCCACCTAGCCGATGTCCCAACAGCTGACACCTCTTGTCCTGTGCTCTTTCTCCTGCAGAAGGACAGCAGCGCCCTCTCCTCGCCTGCTGGGTCCTGCTGCAGCCCCACCAGCTGCTGCTTCTCCCACACAGATTCGCTGTGTTTCCCCATTGCCCCTCCCCTACATCGTACTTTCCCTCTCCCCAAGCAACCCTCTGCTGTGCTTCCCCACCACACCCCCACGGTGCTGCCCCCTCCCCCATAAGCCCCCCGCTGTGCTTTCTCTCTCCTCACACCCCCCACCCCCGCTGTGATTCGCCCCTTCTCGTGTGCCCCCACTGTGCTTCCCCTTCAGGTTGCCCAGCTCCTCGGGCACCTGCAGCATCCACGCCGGCCTACTCTGGGCCTGCTTCCTGAGAACGAGCACCTGGAACGAAGACTGTTCCAGGCCTTTTCTGTTACTTCCTCCTGCAGAGAGCCACCAGAGATCCCATCTCTACCAAGCTGGCCTTCGCCGCCTGCCTCCAGTCCACACTCCTCACAGGGCTCTCCCGCCTCCCCTGCCAATCACGGCAGCTCAAGGCCACGGGATCCCTAAGAAAGGAACCTGGGTCAGTGCCCCTGAACATCACAGCAGCTGTTTATGCCGCCTGGCCTGCTTCGTCTTCTAAAGCCCAAGAAGAACATTATTTCAAGGCAAGATGGGCGCTCAGTCTTGTTCCTCATCTGCACTGATCCTTCCATGGTGCAGATATAAGGCAAACGTCGTAATGAGAAACAGCCTGTCCTCAAGGAGTTCCCAGATTTGTGAGAGAAAACGACAGGCAAAGGAGCAGGCTGGGCAGGGACAGCATGTCGGGCAGGGAGGGGACACAGCCTGATTCAGGGCACAGCCTGCCGGCACCAGGGCCAGAACTCCAGGCACTGGTACTGCCATTCATGCCCCAGGTGCCCAGGTCTTGTGCCTTCCATAGGCTTGGGATAAAGTGCCAAAGGGTCCAAGTCCCTCGGCTTCCTGCCCACAAGCTTAGAGCTCTTTCAGACTCCTGGCTGGCTACAATCCTTCCCATGGGGATTTGCGGCAGGGGCAGCAGTTCATGGGTTGACAGGCCATGGCAAGCTCTCCATCGTGTCCCGAAGGCCTGCTGCAGAGAGGCACACAGCACCTCCACTGCTGTGGGCAACAATGGACCCATCCCACACCTGGGAGGCCCAGAATCTTCCACCTTTCTCAATCACCTTCATCCAACAGCTGGTGGTTCCCTTGATCACAGATGAGAAGGCCCCTGGTATGCCCACATCTGATGGAAGTGGGCACAGGCCTTTGTTAAGCCTGTGAAATGCGCCACTCCAAGAAACAGAGAACAGGAAGTCATTGCACAGTCAGGACGGGTCCGGAGGGTTTGCAGGCAGGTGTGCAACATCTTCAGAGCTCCAGGTCTCAGGCCAGCTAATGAGTAACGGCTGCAGCAGGTAAGGCCAGCAGGAACCCATGGGCCACCCTATGGACAAGGGACGCTGTTGGGCCTTGGTATACTTCCTCTCCCTCCATCTATACTCAGAGCTCACAGGAGGATGATCTGGTGACTGAATGTACACATGCGTTTCCACTGGAAAGGGCACAAGTGGCAAAGATGGCATTTCATAAAACACCATTTGCCATCTGAAAGCAGTGCAGGTGTTTTTTCCCCTAGGCGAGATAGAAGGTTATACCAGGACCAACACATATGCTGCAGGGGCAAAAAACTCTCTCCAAACATGTGGGGCTCCTGACACAGCCCTGTAGCAGAGCCAAGCTAGCCGCTGCCAAGCATGCCACCCACATGCAGTCACCCTCAAACTCCATCATTGCCCGCTCTCTTTGAAGTGTTTGGCTTGCTGACATGTGTCCCCTGAGAACACAGATCATGGACCTGTGGGGCCATCCACCCTGATGCCCACCTCCCTGGGGAAGGTCCCTCCAGGAGGGCTGTAGAACACAAGTGACAGGCCGGCTCCCAGCGGGACTCCCTATGGGTCCACACCTTGAGCACTGGGAGAAAAGAGAACATTGCAGTTCTTGTGATTCCTGCATGACAAAAGCCAACCAAAAGGACCTGTCTGAGGGGAGATAACGCCCAGCAAAAAGACAGTCCTCTCCCCATCATAAGGTTCAGAGCAGCCCTGGGCAGAAGTGGCAGCCACCCACGTCCCCATCAGTGGCACAGGTTTCCTTGCATGGCCTTGGACAGGCACACATGCACCGTGAACACAGCTGGCCTGCAGCAGGGTCCAGGCTGAGGCCACGGCATGGACTTGGTCTCCTGGGCTCTGTCCCACTCTGTCACCCTGCAGGCTTCCACAGCCACCAGCCATGCTGCCAGCAGACACATGCCTGCTGCTCTGCAGAATAACCAGTTTTATGAAGAAATAAAAGCCATCACACTTTTTTCCCAAAAAGCGTGCAATTTACAGAGAAGAACTCAGCATGCTGCACCAACACGCAGCATGCTGCGTGCAACGCTTGCCCTTCGTGGAACCTCGCCCCCTCGGCGCCAGAGTCTCAGGCTGGCTATCTCCACTCTCTTTCCCACGAGCTTATCTCTCTCTCACAGGCAAACTATGAAAATGACAATTCGAGATAACATATAATGGAGCCAATCTTTCTTCTGAAGATAAGATTTTAAGACCTGGAGTCACTGCACATTTGTGGGCTGGTGAATTAAGCACAAAAACAAGCATGCGGTCTCAGAGTTGGATGCCGCGTGCACCCTTCGTGGGAGCATTTGAATAATGTCTGCTTCTCACATGTGGCTCGTTTATTTCTCTGGAACCTAATTGAGTTTTGCTGTTTCCATATTGTCTATTTTCCAGACTGCCTCGGATTTTACATTTGTAAACACGCAGGCAGAACCCCCGAGCAGGCTTAATGAGCTGTGCCCGCGCCTCTCCTGTCGCTGCGGCTCTGCCAGCCTCCGTGCTGTCAGCACAGGGTGGATGCGGCCCATGGGGCTCCGGGGCTCAGAACCAGGTTGGGTTTTGAGGAGTGGAAAATTCCTTAATAAAATGACAGCGAAGCCTAAGTCCTATCCAGACATACAGCTCCAGAAACCTCAAACGGCTTCATTTCTGTTCTGCCCAGAAAAATCCCAACCCTCCCAGAGAACCCTCCAGGGAGACCTAGTGGATCTGTCACTATCCGTGCAGGGTCCCACACTGGCCCTCACCCAGAGGTGGGCGTGGGCAGGCCCTGGCCTCATGTCCCCCAATGCCCTGCCTGCCAGCCCATTCAGCAGCCCCTTCCCCATCAGAGCCTGCAGTCTAAGCTTCTAAAACATCCCAAGCCACACGGCCTGCCCACCATGGGCCCCTTTTCCATGGAGGAAAAGTCAGGCTTTGCCCGATCTCTCTGATGAGCTGCCCTCAGGACATCATTCGACATAAGGTCCAGATGCCAGACCAGAAAGAACTGAGTTTCTTCATCCTCCTATTCCGGAGCTGTGGAAATGCCAGAAGCAGCTCTTGTCTTTCCTCCATGACGCAGATGACACTCTCTATGGGAACCTAGTCACTATATCTGATGACTGTCACAGAAATGCCCCATGGACAGCACCAAAGTACAGAAGGTCAGAAGCCTGAGGTGGCTGATGATCTCAAATCATACTCAGAAGTCAGGAATACCAAGCAATCGGTGCTGGGACAGACACGGTGGCCAAGAACAGACACCCAGTGGTCAAGCTAGCAAGACACTTGCCGACTTCCTACTGAGCGAGGAATGCCACAACATGGCCACTGCTGAGGGAGCTAACGCCTAGAGGGGAGATGGTGCTTGCTGGAGAAGTGCCGAGGTCAGGAGAACTGGCAGGACGCTTACCCACATTGGCCAAGGTCAGGTACAGCCGGCCCCTCACCACCGAGTGGACGCCGATGGGCTTGATGCTGCCACTCCCAGTCACGTCTCCACTCAGCACCATGGTGTCCTGCTCATATTCAGTGGCCACGACCTCGAGTTCATGTGAGACCTGCACGGCCGGCCGCCCTTGGCGGAGAAGATGCTGTAGAGGAGAACAGCATGCTCAGAAGCCACGTCCGGGGAGCCCTGCAGGAGTCAGCCAGGCCACAGCCCACCAAGAAAGGCCACTAGGGGGGAGGGAATGTGTGCAGAAGGACAGAATCCAGAGAGCACCCTGGCCCTGCTCCACACGGGAGGGCAGGCGAGTCAGCATCCTGCTTCCTAAAAGCAGTCTTTCTCATAAACTCTTAAATAAAGCACAACCCAATTTACCCCTGAATAAACACTGCTGGGACCGGGGACACAAGTGGGTCTGGCAGCTGCTCTAGAGGGACCTCCCCTCACCAGAAGCGAGATGGGGAAGGAAGCAACTGAGTGACGCAGGGGATGCCCGGCCATGCCTGTCTCGGGGACACAGAGTGTTCCAGGGTGGAAGACTGAAATGGCTTCCAAAAGAAAGATAAGTCCACAAGCAGGGAAAGCTGGAGGTGTCCTGGCCAAGGGTCACAAGCCCTCAGTCAGAAAGAATGGCTGGAGGATGAGCCTGCAGGGCCTGGAGGGGCCAGGGGGTGCACAGGTCCAACTGGAGTGCTGGGCAGAGGCCAGACTGTGAGGCTATCCATGCCAAGCCAAGCTGCTCAGAGCAGGGTAAGAGCAGGCAATCCCCAGAGCTGGGCAGTCTCAGCAGGGCTTTCTTGACCACCGTCTTTTCTGCTGATGCCATGTAATCCCTCAATCCTCTGAGCAAACCCAAATGCCTGCCAAGCACGCCTGGGGGAGGAGGAAGGAATCACGGGCTGCCCCCTAGGCCAGCTGGCACCTCCTCTGCTGTGTGGCCCTGGGAACAGCACTGCCCTCTGTGAAACAGTACCTTCTCACACACTGGGATCAGACCAAGGTCCTCACTTTTACAATTCTTTTATTTCTACAGCCACAAAAGTGCTTGTCTCTGGGAGTGGAGACGCCCAGACCAGACCCCTCCCTAGCAGGCTGGGGTCCCTGGTCGCCCCAGGCCCTGCTAGCTCAGCGACAGCCATCCACACTACCCACGATTTGCCTACACACCCATGGCTCAGGAGCCCCAAGCCACGTGAAGATGCCTGTGGAAAACAGCAACACAAGAAGCCAGCTCAGCCTCCCCAGGAAGACCAGGAATGCAAATAAAAACAAGGCCTCACCTCTCACCTTTTTTGAAGGCTAACACCCCAAAAGGCACATGCGAGGGAACTCAGCGCCTCGTGTCCTCAGAAGTGCAGTCCTCCTTCAGCCCGTCCCGCCCCTCCGTACCTGCCACCTTCCCACCTGAGCCACCCGAGTTCCACCCCTGGGAGCAGGTCACACAGGGAACCAGATGGTGATGGGCACAAGCCACAGGGTTGGACTCAGCTAAAAGCTGCTCTGGTGATCAGTGCCGTGACCAGGCCCTCGTGTTCCCCACTAGAAACGAAGGTCATGTCACGTGCAGCACATCAACAGGACACTGCTGGAAGCGACTGTCCTCACTGGGGCAGCAACATGCCATTGTCATCATCCTCAGGAAGCCAGTGACAAGATGGGCACAAACTCTAACTTCAAGGTGTCCATCGCAACAAGAAGAAGGGGCAAAGGCAACCGCGGGTCCTGCAGCTAAAATGCAGGCCCCGCCTGCAGGAGACAGAGTCATCAGAGGACAAACTGAGCATCCCAACTCTCTGGGGACCTGGAGTCCCAGGAATAATCTTTTCTTATCAAGTTTCCATCTTTTCTACCTAAGTTTTAAAGTTTAAAGGGTTTATTTTAGCAAAGTAAAATTTAATTTTAATCTATCCAAGCCTGCCAACAAACACAACAGTGTTCATTGAAGGGGTTCTTCACGACAGAAGAGATCAAACTGCTTCTGTCTCCACAAGAAGTCGGCCCAGGGCTCAGCCAGGCATGAAGGGGCAGCCACTGTGGTCCCAAATGCGCCCCAGCGGGGGCTTTGCTCTGCTTCCCATGCTGCCCATCCCCTGCATTCGTTCTTCCCTGCTGGGGCTCAGGACTGTGCTGGACATGCAGCAGTGACAACACCCAGTCCCCGCCCTCAGGGACACTGAGGCCAGGGTGGGACAAGCAACGGCCACAGTGACCCCGCAGGGCCCATGCCATGACCCCGTAGGAACAGAAGAAATGAGACAAGCAGGCTGTATCCATGGGGTCTTCACCCCCTGCAAACCCCCACCCCGAGTGCTCTATGCAAACTGTCCCCCCGCCTCTCCAACCCCAGGGACATCACCCTCCTCTCGGATGAGGACACTGGGGCAGGGGGACTCTGAGTCACGGGGTGGGTGATGGAGCCAGAATCAGTCAGGAAGAGGGAGGGGAGGAGCAGCAGCACCCCAGGAAGAGGGGCCTGGAGCCACCCCCGCCCCCCGCACATGTGGGAGGAGGGGCACATGGCAGGGAGGGAGCAGATTCTCAGGGATCAGCTGCCGCTAGAGGAGACAAGGCCGAGACAGGGAAACTGAGGAGGTGGCAGTGACTGGAACCAGAGAAAAGGGGCCATGTGGGACTCAGAAAAAGGGGCAAATTCCAGAGCCTCAGAGCTGCAACTGTGATGCTACAACCCTCCCCACCCCAACCCACCCACAGCAGGGAGGAGAATTCTCAGGACACCACCTCAGAGAGGGAAGTGGTCCCAGCCCTTGGCCTGGGAGTTGTCATGGCAACTCTAGTTGACCCTCAGGGTTCCCATCACAGAACGGAGAGGGCTGGGAGAAACCCCAGGGAAGAAGTGAGCGAATAGATGGACTTAGGTTTCAGTCAAGGAGAAAACTGGAAACGCCCAATAAGAAAGAGGGAATCTATTTTTAATTAGAATTAGAAAAGCACAATTCATGCAATGCACTGAGAGCTGGTGACATTCACGCACTCGTCCATTCCATCTCGAACGGACCCCTGAGGAGCCAGGCCCAGGTACCTGACACCTGCCCTCAGGGAACTCACATCATCATGTTCAAAGGTGCAAAAGGTGACAATGCCTGGTGGGTGGGTTTCCAGGAGACTGATCCCTGAGTTTGATTCTAAGAGTTCACTAAGCGGACAGAATCCAGCCTTGGGGAAAGTCTTTTCCCTTCAGAACACAGAGAGTGCAGCACTGCCTTTAACTAGTGAACCAGCAAGCAAGCCACAGCCCCACACGGGACGGTGACCACCACGACTGAGCAGACAGACTCTTGCGTGGTCACACGGTGCCCTGGCCGTGCCCGTCCTTCAGGAAAGTCGCTACCTTCAGCTGGACGGCGGCAGACCCGACGAGCAGCAGGGAGTCTCCATCCCAGACGTCTATCTGCAGGGTGTGCATGGTCAGGTAGCGGAAGAACCAGCGCCGCTCGCCGGGCTTCAGGAACACGGGGTCTACCGTGTACTTCAGCTGAAAGCCAGGAGACCCTGCATGAGAGGCCCCACAGAGGCCAGAGGGGGTGGAGACATTCATCACTGTCACACTTGGAGGAGCGTCCTGCTCTGGTCATGATTACTAACTTCTGCTTCCATCATAGCTACAGCTAATAAACACATTAATCAAAAACATCATAAAATATCCAAATTAACAAAATGAAGAGTCATGGTCAGAAGACTATATTTCTTTCCCACATACACCATCAACGCCCAAAATAAGATTTATGGTTTCCCCAAGTCCTTGTACAACAGCGATGATGAATGGGAGCAAACGCCCTCCCTGGGGCTCCCTGGGGAGTTTATCAGTCTGGGCACACAGAATTTAAGGGAAAATGTAGTCTACATGCACTGTCAACACTGTGCTCCTCACACACAGGCAGGCCCACACAAGATCGGGCTTCAGACACGAGATCGGGCTTCAGACACACCATGCAGGAAGCCAGGAAGCCAGGACGCCCTCCCTCCCTAACACAGGACAGCATTAGCCTCAGGGTCCCGGATACTCTCCTGGGGTCTGCTCCTGGTCATCAGGCTGCCTGTGAGCAGGGAACTGGACTGCAGCACCTGCTTCACCTTCCTGAGGTGGCATTATCAGTCATTCTAAATTGACAAAAATGCCACTGAAATCATCATTAGTCAGAACACAGGAACAGCGGAGCAGGGAAGCACATTCAAAACAACATTATTTCCCTTCCCATCGATAACGGTAACAGTATTTATGAAGCCTGCAGAGAGCAGGGGCCTACGCTCCGGGAACAATGTGTCCTAAGCCCCGCCAGTGCCAAGCCCATGCCAGGCTGAGAGCCACATTGTGTGGCCATAGGTCCTCCTCACCAGCACCAGCCACCTCAGCCAGGGAGTGTGTGCCATATGGCGGGACAGGGGAACCAAGGGGATGTGGGGAGTGAGGGGTCCTAAGGTGGGCCCAGGGGAGACAGGGTGAGGACCAGCTGCCTGGCCCCAGCGTCGGCCACTGTGGGAACTTGAAGGGGCATCTCAAAGAAGGAAGGCACATAAGGAATCAGGACAGAGACCAGGAAGGAGCTGGCAACAGCATCGCACAATGAAAGGCATGTCCCCAGAATGGCATCACAGAGGTGACGAGACCAAGCACCCCTTCCCCTGCCCTGGTGCCACTGGCCAGCTCTGAGGGCTCTGGCATCTTATGAGAGCTCAGGACACATCCATGTCTCAATGGGATCCCATGACGCTTCTCAGAGGAGCCATGAGCCCTGGAACAAAGACCCATGAGCACCACCGTCCAGGCCCAAACATGACTTGAGCCAACCTGGGCTGTGGAGAAAGGAGTGGCTTGGGCCAATCCCACCACACCAGTCAGACCTCTGTGGGCCAACTTCCCAGATGACACCTGGGTGCTCTCGGCATCCCGCCTCAGCCTCTCCTACACCTTCCTAGAGTTTCAGGTGTGCCCCAAACACAGCACATCCCAATGGGGCTATCTTCTCTTTCAGCCAGCTCCTCCAATATCCTCCCCCTCTGGGGGGCTCCCCACTCCATCACCACTACATCCCAGCAGGTGCCAGGTTCTTCTAATACTACTGCTAATCACCCACTCAGCATCCCTGACCACACCCTCACGTGGTAACATGTGAGGATAAGATGGGCGGGGTCTCTGCCCTCACAAAGCTCAGAGTCTAGAAGAGAGACAGCCACTGAGCCCAGAGCTGATGGTGTGCCAAGTGCTCCTGCAGGGGCATGCCAGGCAAGGGGGCCGTCCTGGTCTGGGCAGTCACAGGCCCCTCAGTCCAGGTCTCCCAACTCTTCCTACTGCAGGCTCACACCTCTCCCCCGAGTCCAGCTGAGACAAATGGCTCCTCAGTGGCCACCCTGAGGTTCGAGCTCCTCACAGTCCTCTAGTGCTGCCAGACCACCTGCCCAAAGACCCCTGTGTCATCTCCACCCACTCAGAAGCGTGCAATGGCAGTAGCCTGCGATGACAGTAACCCTGACTGAACTAAGAGCAGACGCCCAGTGGGTAGTGGCACTGTCCTTCCCAGCCCACCTCCCTCACCTGCTTCACAAGCAGCATGTCCCAGACATTTGGAAGCCTAGTTGCCTTCTATGCCCAGCCCCACTCCCGGGTCCAAGTCTGGAGGATGCTCCTTCCCTGGCTGTCCGGCCCTCTCCTGTCCATCCCTCTTCTCAATCTCCACCTCTCCTCATGACTCACAAACACCTGTTCTGTGCAAGTACTCACCATCCACTAGATGGCAGACACTTCACAATACTAACAGCCATAAATCATAATGAATGTATAGCAGCCGTGAATATCTATGCACCAAATAACAAAGCGGAAGTCTAGAGATGCAAGAAGAAATGGACAAAAACACAATAATGTAGAAACTAATCACTTTCTATTCAAAGACAGATCCAGTAAACAATAAATGAGTAAGGAGATAGAAGACTAGAACAGCTCATCCATAAGGTCGAAAGTATGCCAATACATATCTTAACACTGAGTACCCCAATAACAGAGAATACATCTTTTCAAGTGTAACTGGAACAATAATAAAAAACTGACTGTTGGCTGGGCGTAGCAGCTCACACCTGTAATCCCAGCACTTTGGGGCAGAGGCAAGAGGATCGAGACCAGCCTGGGCAACTTGGCAAGACTTCGTCTCTACAAATAAAAACAAAAAACAAAAAAATACTGACTGTATATTAGGCCACAAAAAATCCTAAATACACTCCATAAAATAGAAATAATACAAATGATATTTGTATTATCTGAACACAATGTAATAAGCTAGAAATTAACAACAAAATGTTTAAAAAAACAAATTCACAACTTACTCATAAGTCACTTTCTGTCAGGAGAAACAATCAAAAAAGAATTTCTAGAAACAATAGTAATAATGAAAACATTACTTATCAGTATCAACAAAACATAAAGTAGTAATCAAAGGAAAATTCATAGCCTTGAATACTGTACATCCATAAAAACAAATCAGATAAATGAATTAGGCAACTCAAAAAATTAGGAAAATAATAACAAAGAATACAGAAAAAGGAAGGAGAAAGAAGAAAACAGCAAATATAAATAAAAAATTTAATAAATTAGAAAACAAGAAAATGGCAGAATCTACATAAGGTAAACTTTAAAACTCTTCAGAAAGGCACAAAAGCAGAAATAAACAAATGGTTTAAAGGTCCTTGTCCCTGGATAGGACCTCTCCTATCATCTGGGTGTGAATTCTCCTGTGGCAATCCATAAATTTAACAGAATCCTAACAAAGATACCAATATGCTTCTATGGAAAACTAAATAAGCAAGAAAATCCAGGGAAATGCTGCAAGGAAAAACAACAAGAGAGAGGTGGACCTGCCTTACTGAAAATAAAAAAGAACTAAACTACCTCTGATGAAACGGTGTGGTTGCTCAAGGTGATAAATTAACAGTCCAGAGGGTAGCAAACACAGCCTGAGGGCCAAGTCCAGCTGCGAACTAAGAAATGTTTTGAACATTTTTTAAGGGTTGTAAACAAAAAGAAGAAAATGTGACAGAGCCCACAAGTGGCCCAGAAAGCCTATAATGTTTATCATATGGCTCTTGACAAAAAACAGCTTGTCAACCTCTGGTTCAACAGAACAAAATTAAAAATCCAGAAATAAACCCAAGTATGTAAAAAAGGTTGGTATATAATAAGAATGGCTCTCAACTCACATGGGAAAGGATGGACTTTTTATTAAAGGGCACTGAGTCAACTGGATAAATATCTGAAACAAGATAATCTTGGATCCATACCCCCACCATACAGCAGGATAAACTGCAGGGATCAGAAATCTCAATGTAAAAAAGGAAGCTTCCAAGACCTGGAGAAGAACAAACACCCACATCTCTCTACAGAGCAGAAGAGGAAGCCTATCTACCACAACTCAAGAATCTAGAAGTAGTAAGAGAAAAGACTGAGATATTAGACTACACAAAAACAAAACCTTTTCATAGTAAAACCCACAATAAGCAAAGTAAAAAGACAAATGACAACATAAGAAAACACATTTCCAAATTATAGCCCAAAGATTAATCTCCCTAATAAAGAGCTCCCCCAAACACATGACAAAAATAAATTATTTTAAAACTTGAAAGAAAAATGGAAGAAAAAAAAAAGGACAGAAGTATGCAGATAAAGAAAGACAAATATAAAAGATGCTCAGCTTCACTCATTGTAGGAGAAATGCAAATTACAATCACACTAAAATCAATCTCACACCTATGAGACTGTAAACATTTCAGTGTCTACAATTCATTTTGAGGGTCAGGCATGAGGCCCCAGGCATCACCAGTGGAGCACAGAAGCACACACAGATACATGGTGTGGGCGGTGTGAGGTGGTGTCTATCAACACCACAGAAACTCCTACTTCTGGAATCCCACTTCTAGAACCAGAAACACAAGGTTATCATTGTTGCGTTATCTGAGATAGCAAAATACTAGAAATGACCCAACAACCATGAGCAAAAGACTATCTAAATAAATTCCAGAGCATCCGCCCAGGGGAGCACTGTGCAGTAGAGAAGAATGTGATGATTTCCACATGGAGGGAAATTCCTGGCATTAAGTTAACTGCACAAAGCAAGGCAGAAGAGTACATTTGATATGCTACCTATTGCCTGAGAAATAAAAGAAAATAAAATATAGATATTTGCTTATTTTTGAAAAAGACAAATAATCGAAAACACTAGGAGAATAAGCCTGGTAACCACCAGAGGCTGAGTGGGAGAGGTGGGCCCGAGGGGATGAGGCTGGCATGAGACTGGCAGGAGTCCAGCAGGCACACTGTGCTATGGTGTTACACTTGGAGTCATGTAAATATTCCAAAAAAAAAATCAAAAAGGAAGGAAAGCACACATAAAATTGAAACAAATTAAAACAAATGAGCCGTACTGAAACTGGCAATACAGCTCCACAGAGAGAAAGGAATCATTCTGGGAGCTTTGGTCACACTAAATCAACTACACCCTCAGCAGGAC